TTTCTTTTCCTGACATTAAGAGTCTTTTCTGTTCCAAATGCTGTATTTTACTGGGCTGAGTTGCCTTAGTTTGGTTCTTCCAAGAGCCAAAATTGAGACAAAATTTAAGTGCAAATAGTTTAGTTGATACCAGGCATCTGGATATGGTGTCACTCAGATGACTAGCATTCAGCCTACTATGGAAGTCTTAAAAAATGGAGTAGGACCCTCGGGTTGGAGTCATCTCTCATGGTAGGAGCGAGCTGGGCACTTTCCACCCACTCCCACACTTGACCAGTTGGAGAAATGCTTTCTCTTTTCTGGGAAGCAATTGCCTTCTACTTTCAGCCTTTCTGGGAAGTCAGAGACTTCAGGCAAAGGATCAAAGGTGCCAACAGATTGAAGTTGAGCCTGGTTACACAGAAATCCTCATTTGTTTGCTATAAATGCTCCTTTCTGCCTTCCAAATGGCTGGTTTAGTGTCTTCAGCGCAAAGCCACTTCCTCTCATCTCTACATTCTAAATCTCTGAGCTTCCTGTCAGTGCAGGGAGAGCATAAAGCTGTCCTGTTGGTCTGGCCCTTCAGGCAAACTCACTTGCACCATGGATACCTGGCCAATCCTTTTCTGTCCCTCTTGGACTTTCAGGGAAATACCAGTCAGTAAAAACCAAATATGTCAACCTCAGCAAAAAAGCAATTCATGCTTAATTCGGTATCTCAAAGGTTTAAAACTATCCATTGCTTCCCTCTAACAAATTAAGGGGAGACAAGAGTAAAATAAAAGCAAGCAGCTCCAGCATCATTGAAGAAAAGTGTTTCTGGTTTAGTGACACAACCACAAAGGCATAAACATTAATGTTACCACAAGTATCTGCCTCGAAATCCCTGAAGAAGATTGTATAGTTTAATGTTGTTGTTGTTGCATTTCTTCAGAGTACTCAAGAAAAAGTTTGAGGGGCCAGGGATTTAGTTCAGCGGCATAAGTGCCTGCCTGGCAAGCACTAGGTCATGAGTTCAATCCCCAGTACTAAGAAAAAAAAAAAAAAAAGAAAGAAAGAAAGAAAGAAAAAGCTTGAAAGGAAAGCACTCTGAGATGTCTTATTTCCATTTTTAAAAGGTGTACGTGTGCGTGTTCATGTATGTCTGTTGCTGAGGATTCAACCCAGGGACTTGAACATGCCAGGCAAAAGCTCCAGCATTGAGTTATACCCCCCAATCCCTTTTTAATTTTTTATTTTGAAATAAGGGTGTGCTGAGTGATCCAGGCTGGGGTTGCAACTTTCCCGCCTCTGCCTGCAGAGTAGCTAGGGTTAAAGAGATATGCCACCATGCCTGGCTAAGAAGAAAATGTTTTTATACAAGCTGTATGACATTTTCTTATGAAGTACGTCAGGTTTTTAAACTCTCATTGCATTTGCCATAATAACCTAAATTCTGCTTCTAAAAGTATCTACCAGCCCAGAGAGCAGTTTGCTCACAGAGCGATCCCTGCTGACTTGAGAGGGAACATTGCTGTCCTCAGACAAGAACTGGGGATGAGAGAGGGAATGACATAAAGTAAAAGCATGGTGCTTTCTGTTTTCCAACCCACTCGTCAGAAAGGGAAAAGTCTACAAAACAATGTGACCTCATTTGTTTCTCTGTAACTTGATTTGGAAAGTGATTGAATTTTCATTTCCAATAAAGAGAACAGGGAGCCACTGAGAAATGGCTATTACATTGAGGTCCATGGAGCTTATATGTCCTAGGATTTTTTAATTTTGAAATGGTTAGCTTGATATTTAATCACTGGCGCATTTCTCACTGTTTTTTTAGACTTTACAATCAGAAAATTACACTGTTTTGGAGAAGAGCAAGAAAACTCCTTCTTTTCCCCATCCTACCCCAAATTGTCCCACCACCTGTGGTTAGGCCCAGGCTGACCTGCTGAGATGCTCACTTACATATGTTGGAGTAATTAATTAGTACACATTTGAAATACATAATGATTCCATTCATCCTGGGGAGTTGATACATGTTCAGGACACATCTTAATGCTTTTCACAAAACCCCCACACACCTCTCTTGGTCCCCTTCTTCTTTCCAAAAGAAACCTTATCTTCTTATTTCTTAGTCCTCAAGACAATTCCATGGGATAGAGATTATTGCCATCTCTATTTTATGAATTAATAAATCAAGGCACAGAGATGTTAAGTAATTTTCCCAGATCACACAGTAAGAGGTGAAGCCAGGATTTGATTCCAGTTTGATGCAAAGACTTGGTCTCAGATTGTATATTAGAGGTACTCAACAATCCTTTCTAGGATTGTAAAGGAAACAAAGTGGATATGGTTCTCTTTTGTTCTATTTGGAAGGTGTGAGCTTTTTGTTTGTTTGCTTTGTAATATTGATTTCAGGATCTTCTATCCAGAAAGTCCTTACACTAAAGCCTCCGGAATGTGTCACAGTCCTGATCATTCTCTAACCAACACTTGAAATGTTTACCTGCCTTAGTCACCTATAGCCTTCACAGAATTTACTATTCTAATTTCTCTGTGGTAGGCTATATATATATATATACACACATATAAGCAGATTTGTGCTTATGCTTATGTGTACTTACGTGCATGCCTCCAGGAAAATAAGATCTAATAGTTGCCATGGTGATAGCCAGTGTTATGCAGAAAATTATACCTTGTTATGCTCTTGCTCTTGGCTACTTTATAATGTCAGGTAAAACAAGGTGATTGAATTCGCATTTTTGATCACTAGTTTTCAAAGCTGATTTCTTTTCTGGTTAGGTCTTATTTTTAGCAAAACATGATATCTAGATGTAGAGGTGATTTATATGTATTTATCCTTCCTTAATTCAAATCAATAATGCAGTGGTTGTAGTCTACCATTATGCATGAGAAAACTAAGCTGTTTTTAATATTTGAATTAAACCATGCAGTCCCCACATAAGTAGAAGAGTACTCTCAATCTCTCTCACATATTTTCTCCCAAAGCCTCATGCAGTTCTTCAAACCCTTTACAAAATGTGTTTTATATACATATGTTTACTAATATATCTGCCCTATTTTTGAAACATATCAAATGTTTCATATCACATGTCACTTAGAAAAAGGAAACTGCTGCCATATGAGTGTTAAAATATGATATGCAGATAGATTCTTGTATTTCCATTACTTTGAAAAGCGAAGAATGGCGATTCCTTTGCTGAATGTATGCACATGGGCATACATAGATTCTCACCTTCACTGACCATAGCATTTGGGTAGTAAGAGGATTCTCCAAGGCTAGGGAGGGAGAAGGGAACGTTCACAAATCCATGAAAGGAATAAAAGCAAAGTAGTGGAGATGGAGAGATAAATCTCATAAACAAAACTTAAGGCACTCCAGAAAATCCTTTAAATTTAAACAGTGTAATTTTTTTATAAGTTTCTATGAAAAAACCTTGATAACAATTTGTAGGCTTCATGCCACATAGTTGTTAGATATCAGGGAAAAGCTACATCTCATATTCTTTGAAAGTCAAAGCTTTCCATAGATTTCATCTACTTTTGTCAAGAAATATCCCTTCTTGCCCTATTTAGCAATTTTTTATTAGAGGACATGGCATGATGGTATATTTTGGAAATAATCCAAACCTAGAATAAAGTGACACAGGTAAGAGGCTTGATACAACTTGATAAGATCTGACCAAATTCTAGTCTTGGTTACGTAGGGTGTGAACTCTTAGTTTACTATCTTTTTTCTGCAATAATGGCCTCTTCCACCCAAGAGGGGTTAAGCTTAAAGATATCTAAAGTTCCTTTCCTAATCAGAATTTTGCCTAAAGCATCTGATTTTAACCACTCATATCCCAGTTGTGTTTTCAAAAATCACAATTTATATATTTGACTCAAGTAGAATAATAAAAAGTAGTCATTATCATGCATATTTAATTAAAAAAGCTAATTTGACTACTTTATTTTTCCTCTTATAGGTCATTTATTTCCCCAAATCAACTAAACCAATTTGCTTTTTAGAAATTCATACAAACATAATTTCAGTGAGAAGGCAGTTTTAAAATGTCAGTGTCTTAATAACGATCAACAATACTCTTTTTCCTCCTAATACGGCTGGCTTAATGACCTGATTTTATTTTGACAATCATAAACCAAAGGATTTGGTAGTTTTAATAATGTGCCTATTATAACTTAACTTGGAAGATTATGATATAATGTGTATTCAATAAAGGAAATTAGAATACTTGAAAATGATTATCTCTATTCTGCAGTTAACGCTAATAGCAGAATGGCTTTATCTCATCATTTCAGGAAACTTCTATACTGCTAATTAGATGTGTGGATGATACACTAAACACTAGCAGTCTCTCAAGCCTAGTTTTAGACATCTGCTTTCACCATTAGTTATTGTTTGTTTCCTTTTAAAATATGAATAATAGAGCACTTGACTATTCCAGAAATAGACTATCGCTCCAAAATTATCACCAGTGAAAACATGACTCCACAGATAAATAAAATTTATACTCAACAATCTAATAAGCAGATCCTAATCATAAGATAAATTGCAAGGTTAGATCCTATCATACAGTCTCTCGCCGTCTGGTCCCCAGCCATATCAAATCATAAGTTTACAAAGAGACTATATTTGGAGATAAGAGCTTTTCTAAAATCATTAAGATTAAATTAAGTTACAGGGAGGAGCCTTCATCAGATAAGCTTAGTGGCTTTATAAAGCAAGGAAGTGAGACCAGAGCCCCCTTTTTCCATGGGAACACGTCCAGGAAAGGTCTTGTGAGGGCACAGCAAAAGTCAGCCGTCTGCACACCAGAAAGAGGGCCCTCGCCCTCACTGATAACTGAATTGGCTGGCTCTTCAACCTTGGACTTCCTTAAGTCTGGACACCTTGGTTGTAGATTGATATAGAGCCTGTGATGTGGAAAAAAATGTTCTTACGGAAGGTGAGATTGCCACATTGAAAGTTCTCCCTAGTGTCGTTTCAAATTCATTATTATTTGCTTGCTTTTTTTCAGCATGAAAAATCCCCAACTTGATCTAGAAATGAAATATTTAAGCAATGGCAAGAAGCTACCATGGTTCTGGAGTGGTGATGTACTCCTGTAATCCCAGCACTTGGGAGGCAAAGGCAAGAGAATCATTGCAAATTCAAGACCAGCCTGGGCTACAAAGTGAGCTCAAGGCCAGCCTGAACTGCATAATGAGACCCTGGCTCTCAAAAAACAAACAAACAAAAGTAAAGAAGAAGAAGTTACTGTGGATGTGACAAGGGATGTCAAGATCGCGGTTGTGGTTTGTGTCTGGATGTCCCCACCATAGCCTTTAAAGACAGCACCTTAAACCTTACCTCTTGTTTTCATCTCAGAAAACAAGAGTTACAGTGTTTCCAGCTTGACTCAGCAGGGCCAGAGTCCTCACTTTGTAAACATCCTCAGCCTGTGCAAGAGGAAGGCACAAAGGTGGTGCCAGGGCTACCCTCACCCCGGAAAGGGTAGCCTGTATACAGCAAAAGGCAGGAAAAGAGATTTGCTCCTGCCTTTTTGCTCTTGTTGTTTTTGCTGTCTTCTGCTACCATGAAATATTGCCCCTCTGCCATGCTACCCTGTTTTGGAGCTGGTTGATTATGAACTAAAATCTGTGAGTTAAAAAAACCTTTCCTTCCTTAATTTCGGATGTTGGGTATTTTGTCTCAGAAACAAGAGAAAAGTAACTAAATACTGTTTTTCACGAACTCACCCTGATCATCTGAACCCAAAATTAGCACATTATTTTAAACTTACTCTTGACATCAGCCTGACACCGATCCATGTTTTCTTGACCTGGCTAGCATTGTTCTGTGTGTCTCTCTGCCTTCCTATGCAACTTTTTGAAAGAGTTAAGAATGCTATATATTTTCAAATTATACAAATTAGCAAAAGGAGTCAAAGTATGTCCAGGTAAACATTACTGTTGTTGCAAAAATGATGTCAGATTCATTTTATCAGCCAGAGTGGGATACAATAAAAATGTTCTGGAAAAAAGATTGTTTTTTCTCCTAAGAGTTATAGCATGCAAAATAGCTGGGTGAGAGCTGGAAGAATCATTTTAGCATCACAAGAAACAAACAAATGAAGTAACAAACATCTACATATGCTGTGAATACCACTTCTGAAGCACACACTGTATGACGTGTTGTGAGGAACAGAGGCAGTGTGACCCCTCAGGTGTTGCAAGAAGACCTCACAAACTACAGAGCACAAAATCAATCAACTCATGTTTCCTCAATGCTAACTGTACTGAAAGCACCATACTTGGTGCTGTGCTGTAAACCGGCACACCTTGTTTTATTGCTTTACTTTATTATACTTTGCAGGTATTTCATTTTTTACAAATTGAAAGTTTGTGGCAGCCTTGTATCCAGCAGATCTATCATTTTTCCAGCATAAAGTGACAATTCATGTTTCTATGTCACATTTTAGCAATTTCTGAAATATTTCAATTTTCTTCTTTATGACTGTTTTATCTGCCTTGGCAACCTATAATCAGTGATCTTTGATGCTCATATTGCATTGCTTTGAGGTATTATGAATCACGCCCATATAAGTTGGTGAACTTAAAGAATAAATTGTGTGTTCTGAAGTTCCATCAACCAGCTATTTTCCTGTTTCTTTCTTTTTTCCTCAGGGTTCTGCATTTCCTGAGACATGACAATACAGAAAGTAGGCCAAGAAAGAACCCCACAATGGCCCTTAGTATTCAAGTAAAAGGAAGAATCATGTGTCTCTCACTTTAAATCAAAATCTAGAAATGATTAATCTTAGTGAAGTAGGCAAGCCAAAACCCAAAATAGACTGAAACTAACCTCCTATGCCCAATAGCCACCTTGAAAATGCAAGGAAAAGTTCTTGAAAGAAATTAGAAATGCACTCTTGGGAACACATGAATGATAAGAAAGCAAAACAGATTTATTGCTGATAGGAGAAACTCTTAGTGATCTGGATGAAGAGCAAGCCAGCCACAGCATTCCCTTAAGCCAAAGCCTCTTCCAGAACCCAGAGCAAAGAATGAGAGAGGTGAGAAGTTCAGACTTCAATGGAAAAAATAATTGTAGATGTGCAGATATGGTGGAAGTAGCCAGAGAGCTAGAATTAGCAGCAGGGCCTGAAGACTGACTGAATTTCTGCAATTTTATGATAAAAATTTAACAATGAGGAGTTCCTTTTTATGGGTAAACAAAAAAAGCAGTTTCTTGAGATACAATCAATTGACTCCAAGTTTGTGTGATAATCTATTGTAGGTAATACAGTCAGGACTGCATGCTACAGAAAACACTCTTATGAAACAAAAAGTCAGTATATAAGGCAACTTCCACTGTTATTTTAAGTAATTGCTACAACTGCCCAACCTTCAACAATGACATCAGGCATCAGACATCTATCTACACCAAGGCAAACCTATCCATCAGGGAAAAGATTTCTGCTTGATGAAGGCTCAGGTGATTATTAGTACTTTTCAGAGCAAAGTATTTCTAGTGAAGTTACACAGACTGTGGACATAGTGTTATTGCATAGTTAATAGACCATGCAGCACTGTGTAAATATAGCTATTATATGCACTAGGAAACCAACAAACTGTGTGACTCATTTCACTGTGGTACTTGCTTTATTACAGTGGTCTAGAACTATACCCACTTTCCCCCCAGATATGGCTGTATTCAATTCTACCATTTGCAAGGAGTTAATAACCCAATTAAGGAGAACCCACACACAAACACAAATAGATGACTACCATTAACAAATAACAATAATAAACTAGAAATTTGTTTAATTTAAGTGGAGGCAATAATTGTTAATTCTATTTTTTGATTCATCAGAGATTAGGACTAAAAGAAAAGCAAAATGCTGAACAGCTTCAGACAAAACCATGAGGTTGACTCCCTATTTTGCTACTTGTGGGATAATCTTGGACAATTTACTTTTATTAATACGCAATGTCTTCTTCAGTTTCATTCAAGGGATTTTTCCAGATTCTAATGAAATTTTTAATTTTCTGGGTATCTGTTTGAATTCCTCTTAATGCATTCTATTTCTTTCCATTATTGTTCATTCAAAAATTATTTTACTATACACCTGCATATATAAAATCTATTTCTTCTCTATTCCTTCATTATGGATTCCATTTCTCTTTTTACCTCAGAGATTATTTCTGCTACTAATTAATTAATATGTTTCTTTACTTCATTTGCTGTTTTTTCAGAAATCTGAGGTGTATATCTTTCAATTTCTTCTATGTCAATGTCTTCTGTATCTGTCTTGGGTGGACTGGAGGTCTGAGTTGCGTTTTGCTTTTTTGTTTTGTCTCTTTCATCTGCTGGTACTTCAATGTTTTTAATCTTCTAGTTTTACCTCTACTATCTCATGTTCATTGTCATCAGGGTCCTACCGTGTGACTGGTATTCCCCCAGTCACCAGTCATGTGGTGTAGGGCAGGTGCCACTCAACTGAATTCCACCTGCAGCGCTAGTTGATGTGACCTGGATTCTTTCTGGGTTGACTAATCCAGAAGTACTGATGTGAACCAATCATTGGCTCATATTACTACTACTGCTTCAGGTTTTTCCAGGCACAGTAGTGCAACCTACCCACCATGTACATTCCAGCCAAAGCCATACTATGTCATTGCGATATCACAGACCTGATGTGGTCAGACCTTGAAGACAGATCTAGTGATCATTGAAGGAAAGATCTCTTAAACACATGAAATAACAATTCAACAGCTCCAAGATGATACAAAGAAAAATAATACAATACTGATAGATATCAATGAAAAAGGCAGGAGTCAACACACATAACACACACAAGTAACACACATAACACACATAACACACACACACACAAATAATAACAGAAAACTTCCCAAGCATGGGAGCAGTATCTGACATGCAGATAACTGAGACATATAGAACTCCAAAGAGCTATACACAAAATCTACATGCAAACATATAATAATCAAGATTCCAGAAATTCAGCACAAAAGCAGAATATTAAAAGCTGTTAGAGGAAAGAAATAAATCGCCTATAAAAGAAAGCCCATTATAATCATGGTTGATTTCTCAACATAAAGCCTCAAGTCAAGAAGAACTTGGAGTAAAATATTTCAAGTCCTGAAAGAAAATAGCTTCCAACTCAGACTGATGTACTCTGCAAAACTATCTTTCAAAATGAATAGAGAAATAAAATACTTTGATGGCAAAGGACAACTGAAGAACTTCATGACCACAAAATCAACATACAAAGAATACTGAAAGTTATTCTAGATAGAGACAAAAATGACCACAATTTCAAGGCCAACAACAGAAAGAAACCACCAGCCAAGGAAAGCAATTAAACAGAATGAAAAACTAGGGAACCAGCAACAGGAAAATCATATGACAAAGATAAGCCAATACATATGTTATAACCATCAACATAAAAGGCTTCAATTCACCCATTGAAAGAAACAAAATGGCAAAATGGATCAAGAAACAAAGATCCAAAGGTGTGCTGTATACAAGAATCACATTTAACTGAAAAAGAAACTCATAGACTGAAAATCAAAGGATGGAAAATAATACTCCTGGAGGAACAAAAACAGCAACAACAAAACATGCAGAGGTAGCCATTCTCTTTGCAGACAGTGTGAACTTCAAACTAAAAATGATCAAAAGAGATAAAGAAGGTCACTACATACTGGTTAGTGGAAAAATTCAAGAAGAAGAGATAACATAACTATATATATATATATATATATATATATATATATATATATATATACACCAAATATGGAAGCACCTAACTACATAAGAAAAATATTAATAGACATGAAAAATTAAATAAGCAATAACACAATTGTAATGGCACATCTTAGTACCACAAAGAAACAGATAATTTAGACAAAAAATCAGCAAAGAAATAACAGAACTGAATCAAATATATGAACAAATGGTCTTAGTAGATGTTTACAGAGTATTCCACCCAATAACATCAAATACACATTCTTCCTAGCTTCCTATGGGTTGTTTTCTAAAATAGATCATGTACTAGCCTACAGAATATGCTTAAGAATGTACAAAGGAATTAGAGTTGTCCCATGCATATTACTTGACCATAGTGCAGTGAAATTGGAAATCAATGCAAAAGAAACTTGAAATCTACATAAACACATGGCAATTATATAACAACTTCCTGAACAACCAATAGGTCACAGACAAAATTAAGGAAGAAATTAAACAATACCTGCAATCAAATGAAAATGCAAATCAAACTTGCACAAACCTGTGTGACACAAAGAAATCAGTCCTGAGAGGAAAATTTATAGTGGTGAATTCCCACATTTGGAAGATAGAATGAGCACAAATAAACAACCTAATCTTATATCTGAAGTATCTAGAAAAAGTAGAGCAAGCAAGCTCAAAGCCCATAGAAAGGAGAAAGTTATTAAGATCTGAGAAGAAATTAATACAATTGAGACTAAGGAAGCAATGCAAAGAATTAATGAATCAAAGAATTGGTTCTTTAAAAGAATAAATAAAATCGAGCAATCTCTAGTCAACCTTTAAAAAGGAAAGAAAATTTCAAATTAATGCACTGAGGAATAAAAATGGTGAAACCACTACTGTTCCTGTGGAAATTCAGATCATCAGTACCTTCCAAAAATCTTTGCTCACACAGAATTTAAAAAAGAAGAAAAGGAAAGATTCCTAGAAATGTTTGAATTACCAAAACTGAATAAAAAAATTTCAATAACCCAATATCAGTTATCAAAATTGAAAACATAATTAAAAGCTTACCAACAAAGAAAAACTCAGGTCCTGATGGATTCATGGCTGAAATCTATAAGAAATTTAGAGAAGGTTTAATGCGAATACTCACCAAATTCTTTAATAAAATTAAAAAGTAAACAATTACCTCTACCTCTTTCCTAGATTACCCTGACACAGAAACCAGAAAAAGATCCCCTCCCCCAAAAAAGAACTACAGGTTAATCTCTCTAATAAACATAGATGCAAAAATCCTCAATAAAATACTAGCAAACAGAATGTAGTAAATCATGAAGAAGATTATACACTACGATCAAGTGGAATTCATCCCAGGAATGCAGTGATAGTCAACATATTCAAATTAATAAACATAATATCCCATATTAATAGAGCCAAAGACAAATATCACATGATCCCCTCTATAGATGCAGAAAAGTTTTTAAGAAGACCCAACCCTCCTTTAAATAAAAACCCTACAAAAAATTGGAATAAATGGTTTTTCCATCAATCTCATAAAAGCCATCTATGATAAACTAACAGCCAACATCATACTAAATGAACAAAAAGTGAAAGCTTACATTCTAAAATCAAGAACAAGACAAGAATGTCCACTGTCACCACTCCTATTCCATATACTTCTGGAAACATTACCCAGAACAATTAGACAAGAAATAGATATAAAAGGAATAAAGATAAGAAAGGAAGAAGTTAAATTACCTTTACTTGCAGATGACATGACACTTTACATGGAAGACCTCAAAAACTTCACCAAAATCTATTACATTTAATAAGCAAATTCAACAACATAGTTGTAAACAAAGTCAATACTCAAAATCAATACCATTTCTGTA